TGATACAAATCAATGACCTATCGAAAGTTAATTCTACTAATTCACTTACTTTTTTCAGCGAGTAAGTTCTTTATATATATATTTTTTTTTTACTATAAAATAATGGTACAAATCAGTGCTCTATCAAATATTAATTCTAACTAATTCACTTACTCTTTGTCATCTATATAGGAGGTAAGTTCTTTACACATGACATTTTTTTTACAGTAAATAATGATACAAATCAATGCCCTATCGAACGTTAATTCTAACTAATCCACTTTTTGTCACCTATATACAGCCAGACCTCTCTCTAAGTGCACCCCTATAAATACACACCCCTCTAAATAGACGCTCAGATTCTGGCCTAAATATATTCTTGATCTTTAAATACACTTTTTCTTATTATTCTCTAAATGCACATTGTTAAAGTGTGATCCCAAGGGCATGAACTTAGAAGTAGTTTGTAGTTTATTTACATACGACTTTTTTTTTTTACAGTAAATAATGGTACAAATTGAATACTAATTCTACCAATTCACTTACTTTTTTGTCACCTACAGTCAGACCCCCCTATATGCTACCTCCCTAAGTGCACGTACTATGAAACACCTCTCTAAATGCACTTCTTCTCTTGGGCCCAACTAATATTACATCTATAGATTTTTACCTCCCTAAATGCAACACCTCTCCAAGTGCATGTTTGACTAAATTTTTATATATGCCCGTTGCATTACATTTAGAGAGGTCTGACTGTATATAGGAAGTAAGTTCTTTACATTTGACTTTTTTTTTGAGGTCTGCCTCATTTTACCGACACTCATTTCATAGACAAAGCATTTCACCAACAATCATTTCACTGACGTGTTCATTTCACCAATACTTAATTCACTGACAGCTCAATTCACCACCAAGCTCAATTCACTGATACTCAATTCACGACAATCAATTCACTAACACCACTGACACTCAATTTATCGACAATCAATTCAACACTCAATTCATCAACAAAATAATTATACCAGAATTATGTTTACTGTATGAGTGAAATAAGTTAATTTCAATAATGGGTTTGTGATTTTGACAGTGGGTGTTCTTTGTAATCAATATAAATATTTAGAATTTTTAATTTATCGCCATAGCGATCATAGACAGACATTCGTATGATTGGCTGTTTAAATCAATTTAATTTTACATTATTGAAATTTAATTTTTTTTTTTTTAACCTTATACAGTTTAAAGTACTTTTTAAAAAAAATAAAACTATTACAAATAAACAAAAAGAAAGAAATATATAGAAAGTTTTATTAGAGTTGTAGGACTCCACTATTAAAAATAATCAAAATTCTTTTTTGTTTTAGAGAAGTTAACATAGTAGCGACTTCTTAAAATTAGGTTATCACCATGCTAACTTCTCTAAAACAAAAAAGAATTTTGATTATTTTTAATAGGAGAATCCTACAAACCTAAAAAAACTTTCTATATATTTCTTTCTTTTTTGTTTATTCATAGTAGTTTTATTTTTTTTAAAAAAGTACTTTAAACTGTATAAATAATGTAAAATTAAATTGATTTAAACATCCAATCATACGAATGTCTGCCTATGACTATAGCGATGTATCACTACTTCTTAAACTTAATGGTCGTGTCAGGTTCTGATATACAAATCCCGCTTATGATTAGTAATATAGATTACTAATCATAAGCAGGGTTTGAATATTGAAACCCAACATCACACAACAAGACAATTAAGTTAGAGATTTTGACTTTCGGAATCTTGGAATAGATACGGGAGTAGCGATATATGCTATAGCAGTAAATTACAAAGCCCAAATATTTAATATCTGTCTTCTGCTTTGTCTAATTTTGGTAATTTGAATGGAAATAATAATATTTCTACAGTATCTACCAATTAGTAATGCCTTTGACACAATTTGATAGACAGTTTCAAATCATCACTACTCTACAATAAAAACATAAGATACAGTGAAGCCCACTCGGAAAAAGCAAAAAAGATTTAGTTTGAGAACTAGAATCTTACTGCCATCAACTATAACTAATGATACTTATTTACACAACTATGAGCTTATTTAGGATTATTCGATATCTATGTTTCACCTCGAGTCAAATCCGAAATAGCATTTGTTAATGACAACTATTGAATATTTGTCATTACAACGGGTTACGAGTTGTTCGCTAGTATGAAAATTAAAGTATATATAATTTAGGCCAGATTGCATAATGCTGGGCGGAATTAAGAAATAGGAATGCAACTGGTCCGAAAATTCCTGAAAAGAAAAATGAATGAATATAAAAGATGAGAAGGGTCAGAGCAAAAAGTTTGATCTAATATTCGATATTTTTCGAAAAAAAATATAAAATCAAAATTTTATTCATGCGCATTCTCCCATCTTTGTTTAGCTCCATGATGAAGCTGTGCAGTGATTATTTTTTGATGATTAAGCTTTGCAATTACGATAGCAATGCAAAGACCTTATGGTGTAATTGAGGTTCACAATGATAGCGGTACAAGAACCTCTTGTTTGGTGATTAGCTACATGAAAATAGTAGTCAAGAACCTATGGGTAAGTTACACTTGCATGCTATAGAATGCAATAAAGCAATTCTCATTGCAGCTGTAATTCTTCATGGTTGGGTTTTATATTTAAAGATACAATAGCTAAATTAATATTAAGTTACGATGTATTTATTTACTAGACACGAATATGCAATTTGTTATAGGTATGAAAGGTTAATTTTGGTGAAAGTATTTACTGAGAGTAGATTCTTTAACATTTATGATATAAAACCTATGAATAACAGTGCACAGGTTTCCATATATTATTAATCTTATATTAGGTGCGCAATGGAAAATAACAAAAGAAGGTAGTTTCAGTTATAAAATGTGTTAGGCAATTAATAATTTTTTTTGGGCTTTGTTAATTTTGATTTCATTTTATTTGCAGTAAAATTTTCAGAGTGTATAATATTAATTTTAATTTGCAGGTATAGAGATCTAGGCTATTTGAGAAGGGTTTTACTATTTTTTGCATGAGTGATCGTACTGGTCCGGCGCGGCACCACGTGCTGCGCAGCTATCTTATTATAATATCGATAGTTGGGGTGTTCTACGCCCTATGATTTACAACCCCACTAATGTAAGATTTTTGAAATTTTGTCGATCATTTTATTAGAAAAATTTAACATAGTAATTTTATAATAAAATCGGTGTATTTTTAAAATGAAATAACTTCTGTTCTAATGAAGCAAATTAAATTCTGTAACTTGTAAATGAAATATTGGGAATATGGTTTTAAAACTATGTTGAGACATTTTCTATTTATCATATTTATTTAACTAAAATTGTAATTTATTAAATAACAATTTAATTAAAATTGTAATTTAACAAATTTAATTAAATAAATATAATAAACTAGCAAATGAATTAACATAGTTTTAAAACCATATTCCCAATATTTCATTTACAAGTTACAGAATTTAATTTGCTTCATTAGAACAGAAGTTATTTCATTTTAAAAATACACCGATTTTATTATACTATGTTAAAGTTTCTAGTAAAATGATCAAAAATCTTACATAGTGCGTTTATCATATAGTGCTGCACTATGTTTGTAAATCATAGGGTGTGGAACACCCCAATCGATAGTCAATACTAATATCGGCGATCGATAATAATATAGGCAACCACTATAATTTCGGCAGTAATAATAATTTCGGCAACCAAAAACAATTTAGACACGTAACATTTTGAGACACAGTGGCGAAATTACTAAAAAATTTAGCCATGCCATCTGCTGTAAATCATCTCTATTTTAGACACCCATGTATATATAAACCAAGCTAGTAAGTTCCCAACTCACTAAAATCTAAAGCCTTTCCAAAAGACCTAAAAATCTCCCAAACTCTAAAATCCTTCTTCCCTATATTTACAAGAATATCCGTCTATATATATATACTATTAGACTACAAAATAAGCTATATACTATTTACAGAAGTGTTTATTTACACTAATATAAAAAAATGAAATTTTAATTCGTCACAGTAGTAACGCTAGGACTTTTATGAAAATCTTGGTTTTTGTTAAATATTAAAGCGATGTAGGTATAGAAATTGAACCTGGGATAAAATTCAAGCTTCGTGTCCCCACCCGTTTACAAGTTATAAGCTGGGTCATTACTAATTATTTGAATAAGCTTAGTTGACCAAGTTATCATGTAAGAATTGACAATACCGAAATTACTAAAGCTTAAATAGCTTAAACGTCTACATTTAATAGATCATCACCTAGCTAGTGTTTCTATCCATCTGTTTATCCATTTATCCATTGGATATCCAAATCTGAATTTATTCGGATATCTGTTTTACTATTAATATCCGGATAATTATCTGATTACCTGTCGGATTATCCGGATATCCGAACGATTTGGATTATCCGGATAATCGGATACGGATAAACGGATGACGGATTTATCCGGATTGGAACTCTACACCTAGCATGGATTTTATCTTGAAACATTAAGAAAAAAATGTCGTGAGAAACATTTTACTTATAATTTTGGCTTAATCTTATTTCGCTTCAGATAGAAGCTTAGTCTTGCCACTAAGCCAGATTTAAATTCAGACCGTACAAATAAAATTTAATATTCATATTAACAAATATGAATTAATAATATAAGTATTAATAAGTGACTGTATTAAATAGAGACTGTATATAGTATAGTTTGCATAAATTTTTTTAGACGAAAATTCTTATAAAAAGATAATGACTGAAGCCAATGTTCAATAATAAAAAATAAACTACCTCAACTAAATATTATACGACTGAAGCCAATTTTCAATAATCAAAAACAAATTATCTCAACTAAATATTATATTCCTTATACAAATAAATAATGAATAGACTTTTATTTATTCATTTATTTTTATTGGTTGCACTTTTTGTTACCAATGCTGTCAATGCTGCTGTACCCAAGAAAAAACTTTTTGATCAAAGATGTCGAATTGATAGAACCAATGTGGAAAAAATCTTTGTAAGTGTAAATCCGGATCCAGTAGTTGCCGGAAAAAATGTTACTTTTAGTGTTTCAGGATTTCTAAGTCAAGATATTGCGGATAATGGAGAGGTTAGGGTTAGTTTTTTTAGTGTTTTAGAGACCCAAATAGGAGGTGGCAGCGCTCCTGCTCCTCCAACTAAAGCTGAAAATACGTTTTCGGTAGATACCACTCTTGAAGCACCAGCTCTTTTACCAGATCCATACATCATGCAAGTTGTAGTTGTGAATCCAAATGATCCGGCCGATCCACAAAAGGATATAATAGGCTGTATAGGAGCGGTTGTTGGTACTAATGTTGGTCCTGGTGGTCTTGAAAGTCCTCCTAATGGTTCAGCCAATAAAATTGCAGTTGGCGATAGTTTTCTTGTCCTTTAACTATTGAAAATATTATTAGCATAGCGCTTACGCAATTCGTTACAGTAGTTTTAAATTATTATTTGCTCTTATTAATTATTTGAAACGTTGAGTTTGGTTTGGGTAAGTTATGTTTATTATATTCATTTTATATTTGTGTTAACTTGCATTTGTTCTATGTTTACATCAATGTGGTTTATAAAAATTAATTAGTATTAGATTTATCCATGTTGTATTAAATAAAGCAATAAAAAAAAATTAAATTATTATTTCCTATTCTATAAAATTATAAAAATAAATTTGATTTCTTAAAATAAAAAATAAAGCAATTTTTACACTGTATTTACCATTTTTTTAAGTTAAATATTACCATGTAGGTGACGTGACCATAACATGATTTCACAAACCCGTGAGCCCGCGAAGTTATATGATAATGCTAAGTGCTATACTTATCACCTAAATCCTCTCAAAAAAACAAACATTCACTGGATATCTAGGCCAAAAAATTCCAAATTTAAGCCCAAACTAATAGCTTAAAAACTTTATTAATAACCTTCATTTAAACAAATAATATATATTCTTATAGCTATATATAATATACAGTATTTACACAAAATATTAAAATTATTTTGTTGTTTTAATTTTTTGTAAAAGCAATTTGTTTTTTGAGGTTTGAGATTTGTTCAGATTTTGTCAGCATGTATATTAAGTGTAGTCAAATTATGCCATTTGAACTAATAAGATATCTCAATCAATAATGTAACTACTTTTATTATAGCTTTATTCTTATAAACTGTAACACAAACATAAAGACATAAAATAGATAACTGTATTAGATTATAATACATAAATGAATTTGTAAAAATGCCAGATTATTAAACATTCAGATATTCATTGTGATCAAAGATGAGTCATATTACAAGTGACTCTCATTATAGTAAAGTAATCAGTTTGTAAAGTTATCTTTACTATAAAGAGCCTATTAGTTAATTTTGGGCAAATTCACTATATTGAAAGAGTTTTTGTATAAACTGTTCTTTACTATACTTATATTGGGAGTTAACTATTATAAGAGTTACTTGTAATAAGAATTAATAGTGATATGGGCTGACTTCAGCCTATCTATAAGTTTAGCATCACCATCTAAAAAATTTCTTTAACTATGGATCTTATTGAAAATTTTATTTCACAATTAGTTTAGTGTTAAGGTCTCATCTAAAAATGGCTTTGAAAGTATTTAATCATGCCAAAAAGTCATACTGAAAGTTTTACTGAAACCTGAAAGTTTTACCAAACTCAAAAGTTTTACTGAAACTCAAAACTCTTAAAACTCTTATTGAATTTGAAACTTTTACTAAAATTGAAAGTTCTATAATTTTTATAAAAATTTAGTATAGTTAGACCTCTCTATAATCACAAGTTGGTTGTATCCTATTTTGGTGATGATATAGAGATGTGATAATAAATAAAATAACTTGTTATATCACGTGTATATTTGAAATACTATTAAATTTTTTAAATATTTAATAGTGAATAACTTTTGATCCAGTGGTCCAATTTAGATAAAATAACTACCAGAGTGTTTACTTAATAAGACAATTCTAAAGAGACTAAAATTACTCAAATTAACTACAAAATGCTAAGATTATTGAGGATTTTTCTTTCAAATATTGAAATTTAATCAATTCTTAAACATGCAAAAGAACACAGATCCTTAACTATCTTAGGAACTTGTGATTAGATTTTAACAACCTTGAGCTCATTAGTATCGTATCATTGAAACAAACATTTTGGTGATTGTTTTATTCAAATCAAATCACAGCATCAAAGTTATTTGTTGTTAAACCTTTAAAAATTTAATAAAACCTTTAAAATACATGAATATAAATATTGGCCAATCATATTTTATAATTCATATTAAGTTAAAATTTTGTGATTATAATAAGGGTTTATTATTAGTAAAATTGATAAAAAAATTAAATTTTTTGGTGATAATAATTATAAGAGATTTGTGACTATAATAAAGTTTTTTATTATATTTAAGTCCATCACACAATATTGGGTGCTTATATAAAGGTGTGACTATATGAAGTGTGACTATAGAGAAGTCAGACTATAAATGTCAAAAAATAATTTGAGCCTTAATATAACAAGTAGTTTATTAATAAATTTTTTCATTTAAACTTTTAATATTTTAAGTTGATTTGCTAGTTAAAATTTGTTAAATATGAAATTAGATATATGGTTTTGAATAATTTTTGTGTAATTTTCTAAATCGATAACTTAGTATACTAGTTACTGTAAAAAAAAAAAAGGTCGTACTGTATGTAAAGAACTTACAGACTATATAGGTGACACAAAGTATGTGAGTTCGTAATAAATTTTGAAACCTAAAATTTACAAATGCACATTTTACTTGCAACTTATTAACTAATTTATGAGCTTCTGCTGCCCATTCGTCACTAGGCTTAATTTTTAATAATTTCATTATATAATAAATTTCTCCTCGATATCTTAGTGCTATTATGTTATCTGGTTCAATTTCTGTCTGTTTAGTTAAAATTTCAAGTGCTTTATCATATTTGCCCATAAGTAATAATATTTGTCCTAGCTATTTTGCCTTTTTTCTAATGATTTTGTTAATTCATCTATTAAATTAATAAGTAGATTGTCATTTCACCCATAATAAAATGAATATTTTCTTGATATTTCAATATTAATATATTATCTGATTTTTTGCTAATGTATTCGTTAATCATCGCTGTTAATTGAAATAAACATATAAACTTAGATCCATAGACAAATTTACCAGAATATTTGAACATTCACGACCGAAATTTACTTTTACAGACACGCCTCGCGATCTAAATCCAACACACGGATATATAATTCCTTTGAAATCATCAGGAAGATGACACGCAATTCCTTAAAATATGTTATAAATATTACTTATTTTGCTTTGTAAAGTATAAATTTAATTCTTAAAGTGTTAATTACCTAGGTTGACTCCATTTTTTGTATAAAAATACTATCTTCTTTGAGACGTTTAAATAACATCCAATAATGTCACCAGTAGTATATATTGGTCCATACGGCTCGCCATTTCCAGAACAAAATGAATATCCATTGTCACCATGGTAACCACTCCCTCATAATCTATTTTCCTCATTCTCCTTAAATTCTTGTCCTAAGAGATATTATGTATGATATTTGATATTAATTTATAATAAGGCCACGCAAAGTTAATTTTTCGTTTTGCATAACCCGCCGACCCAATTTTTCCAAAAATTTTTTTTTAAAAAAAAAAATCCCTATTGTGCCAATTAATCCATTTTTGGCATTTAATTTTTTCTCCGGTGTCACCCGATGATGACCTTAATTTTCCGGAAGTACCTGATAGATCCGAAAAAAAATTCAAAATTTTCTGATTCATGTTATGCAAACCGAAGAATTAACTTTAGATGTGAACATGATTTAATTTAGGCACGCAAACTATTTTTTTTTTAAAAAAAAAAAAAAAAAAAAAAATCCGACCCGCTGACCGGAATTTGGAAACACCAGGTTATGCAAAACGAAAAATTGACTTTGCGTGGCCTAATATAAAATGTAATAAAAATCTATCATTACCTGACATGAACATAACATATATATACTTTGTTTTTACATTTGTATCACCTATTTCCTTATCGTTTTGCTTTGAATAATATCCAACTCCAATATTCTATCAATAAATATAATGAAAAACATCTAAGTATAAAGGTGATATTATAAAATGAAAATAAAATAATTAACATACCCATTGTTTCCTTTATTAATAATTTTAATTTCGA